GGGGGTGTGATATACGGCTGCAGCTCCGGGTTGAGACCCCTCCCCATGGGTGCAAGCTGGGGTCCTGCTCCCATGGCCGTCTCCATGCCCCACCTTGACCGCATCACGGCCGCTGCATACGAGGGCCCTCCCCCGTTTGAGGGGCCTGGTTGGCCTGGGGCAGCAACAGGCTGTGCAGCACGGCCCTGCTGTCGCATTTGCTGTAACTGCTGTGTCTGGCGCGCCAGCTCCTTCCTTGGTGGTGCTTTGCACGGCATAGTGAAGGGTCCCTCCTGATCGGTCAATTTCAGTCTGGAAGCCCTCAGTATGCCGGGCCTGGTTGCCTCCCCCGGCCTGCCGAGTTCGAAGTGTTTTTCACCCGGTAGACCGGGGGTGTCCTGCGCCACCTTGACTCGCCAGGTGTCTGCCATCATAGTGGGATTCAGCTCATGGATGTCTGATTCATCCCACCGGAACCACTGAGTGGAGTAGCAGGCGGCAAGGAAACCAGGGATGACTCTGGGATCCAGGTAGGTGGGGATCCCCTTGATCTCCCAGTAGGGCCGTTCCGCCTTGTATAGGTTCGTGATGGGCAGCTCCACTTCCACCGGGGGGCTGCTGGGTAGGAGATGGACTGGCCCCAGGTGAAGCCGTCCCCTCCGGACTGCTGGCGAGGTGGTAAGCATTGCGAGACCACCTTTCCGGATCAAGATGCTGATTTCTTGCACCTTCACGCCGCTGGGGAGTGCCCATTGCGGGCATTTGCTGATTCGCGGCCCGAGTAGCCCCTCTGCCTCAACGGGCGGTATTATCGCCCGTAATCTGTTTAAAATGGCCTTGCCCACTGGTCCATGTAGCTGGGCTTGTATGTCCGCGGGGTCGGAACCGGCCGGCCAATGGATTTCCATGGTAACCTGGTCCTGTTCCGCATGAAATGGTGTTCCTTCTGGAACCGTTTCCATTATTATGTCGATGTTCACAAACTTTCGTTCCGCTTGGGCGCGGCTTGGTTGTTGGCGAGCAGCTGGGGCTGTCGCCCGTCCATTTGAACGTTCATTTGGCGCGGAGGTCCGCGCCTGCCCATTTTCTGCCATTCTGGCCTATATTAACTCAAGCATAATTTTCGAGAGTTCTCCGTTTTTGCCGCGGTCGGCGAGGTCAGCCATAGGCAGTTCGTGGTCGCGTTTTAACGAATATTACATTTGCTTTTGTTGTTGTTGTTGTTGTTGTTGTTGTTGTTGTTGTTGTTGTTGTGTATGCTCCCTTTTCCCTTCTCGTCGGACACACGATCTCTCTCTATATGCATATCTACACCAACACAATCAAACAATGCTGCTGTATCTACTTGGCACGATTTGGCACATATGTAAAGTAATAATAATAATAACCCTAACGGTATATATACCAACAACAATCTCGCCGCGTGCACAAGCGTGCCAACCCGCCGATGATCCACCACCACTAAAACTTTACTGTGCCGCCTCTGCTGTGCTCTGTGATGATCAGAATAAGAATAAGGATAAGAATAAGAATAAGAATATGCGATGCGATCGCGCTCGCTGGTGGTGGGGTCTGGTCGTCAATCCTCGTCGTCGTCGTCGTCGTCATCGTTATTAAAATTTTGCCGGGAAGAGTCGCTCAAAGTTTTTATAATTAGTAGTAGTAATAAGAAAAGTAATAAGTATAAGTACGGGAGCGGAAGCGGGCACATAGCATCATCATCATTCATCATCATGTTGTTCTGCGGCACATGCATTACATATATTACTTGAATACTTAGGGTCAACAATAATGAATGTAACAACAACAAAATAATCGGTACACAACAACAACGACGCTGCTCAAGTGTGCTTCGTCGTACTATACGTCATTATCATTAGTAATAAAGTGCGCCGCCCCTACTTCTCACCGCTCGCCGACGACAAACAGACAATTGAAATGAGACCGTCACAGCGAGAGCTATCAGGACGTTTTTAAAATTTTATTTATGGAGCAGGCGCCAAGTAGAAATCAAGCCGCGAAGAAGCAGAAGCAGACATGTGTCTAATGCGCGCGAACCGCGGAACAAGACAAACACCAATCAATAGACCGCAACAAAAGCACAAAGAAACAGCTTTAGCGTCCTCGAAAGGACACGCCGGCAGTAAGGGCGATTCACAAGTAAGTTGTAGAATATAGACTAACGCTGCAAATCATCGGCTACTCACGGTGAGGAGTGGTGAGTGCGCTTTAGTTTGTTAAGACACAGTAATTTGCAGTACGAATGCGCAATTGGTGATAGTGGGTTCAAGTCACGGCTGATGCAACAACTGCGGTAGCGATTTGGTGGGTTCTTCGCTGACGTGTTATATTATTAACCGACTTGTCCAGCAGCAGCATGAGACGATGTATTAAGCTTTCTTCAACTTTTGTTTTATAAATAATAACAATCATTGTTGAATTGTTGAAACAAGAAAATGTGCTTTTTCTTAATGTATATTATAACCTAACGTTTTTTTTCTGCATGCTGCAGGACAGGAAGAAGCAGGAACAGCAAAACGTACGTGAGGAGGCGGCACGTGCTATTATTATTATAGAGTGCTGGCGGGAGGGGGAAGAGGAGGAAGAGGAGGAAGAGGAGGAGGAGGAGGAGGAGCTTCAGGCTGAGAGGTGGAGAGCAGCAGCACTGCTGTGGAG